TGCCGTTCATGCTGCGGCCTGATGAACTCGACACCCGGGGCAGCCGCTCCCGTCCCCTCGGCCGCCGCCGCCGGGCCGCGCCGCGGAGCGCTGGGAGTTGTAGTCCGCGCCGCGGGAAGCGGTGCCAGCGCGTCCTGCGAGCGGCACGGCCCCCGCGCCGGCGGCCCGGGAGCTACAGCCGCCCGCGGGACGGGGCTGCTCCCGCTGGGCCCTCGGGCCGCCCGCGACCGGCGCTCACTGCAGAGGCTGGAGAGGAGCGGGCCCGCGGGAACCCAGCACAGCGTCCTCCTGCCCCCCGCACCTTCCCCGGATCCTACGCGGCATCTGTGCCTGGCCGTGCTTTCCTCCCCAGGCTGGAGCTGGCTTTCTCAGGAAGGTTAAGAAGTAGGTGATTGTTGTCTAGGGGGAACGTAGCAGAGAAAGAGAGAGATATCTGACCTGTTCCCAGCCCTTTTAACTGGCCTCACAGCAAACTGAAAAGCAGATCAGACAGTGATGGGCAGGAGCAAAAGCCAAATACAGGCAAATCGCAGAGAGAGTGTCTATGCCATTGCCTAGATATCCTGTGATGCAATAAAGTGATGCTCTAGATTCAGAAGCGCAAATGGTACACACTGACTGCCACTGCTGGGACAATAAATACCTACCTATGCCCTGAACAAGGCATTTGGTTTGAGGATTTGAGAAATTTCCTCAAAACTCTACAGATAATTACCTAGCAATAAAGTGCAAAGTAGTTCAACTTGTTGTCTAACAGAGAAGCCACTTGAACCTGGCACTCTGTATGACGGGGATTTCTTGAACCAACAGATTCTTTGGAAATAAACAGCAAGGCAAAATTTATCATAACTTATTTCCTTATTAAACTGTATCCTTATCTATTTCAGCACATGCTACAAGTATGTCAATACAGACAATGACAACAGGGAACAATGAACAGGCCTGATCCAATTAAATTGCCTGATTGCTTGGCACTACAAGATCAGTCACATCTACATGTTGCAGGAACTTCTCTGATGAAAATGAGGACCAGCTGCTCTGGTCTTCAGTGTTAACACTATCAATCAGTTTGTTTGGTATTACAGTACAGATAACAAATATTTTTGACTGCATTAATTCCCAGATGATCTGCATTTTTGGATTTCTGAATTTAATAGGGAGAGGCAATCTGGGTGATGGATCTCCGAATTAGAGGAAGAGTGTGCTATGTGCCTTAATGCTATAACATTATTGCTTAGTGCTAAACTGAGTGTTAGAACACCTGCCTCAGAAGTGGGAGACAGGCATTCAAGGTCCAATTACACCTGCAATGATGAGCAAAACCATGATTTGTCTATCATGGGAAGACTTCTTAAAACAGTTGAGCACAGCATTCAGTTTCACATCTGTGTCAGTCCAGTTCACAGAGTTATGTTGTCCTGGATGTCTATACTTTTTGTGGCCATTAAATAGGAACACTGCACAATAAAACCTGCACAACAGTCATCCAGTATTTTTCTCCCTGTCCTGGTTTCAGCTGGGACAGAGTTCATTTTCTCCTTGGTAGCTGGTACTGTGCTCTGTTTATTAGATTTAGTATGAGAATAATGTTGATAACACACTGATGTTTTTGTTGTTGCTAAGTAGTGTTAACCTTAAGTGGAGGAGTTGAGGACTTTTCAGTGTCTCATGCTCTGCCAGTGAGGCACAAAAGCCTGGGAGGGAGCATAGCCAGAACAGGTAACCTAAATTGGACAAAGGGATATTCCATACCACAGAACAGTCTAGTTCTAGACATATACATGTTCAGTATATAAACTGGGGGAATTACCTGGAAGGGGGCAAATCACATTCTGGGATGGAATGGGTATCGGCCAGTGGGTGACGAGCAATTTTACTGTGCAGGACTTGTTTCCTTTGAGCTCCGTTACTCTTGCCTTTTTTTCTCTTTTTCTTTTTTGTTTTGTTTTGTTTCAATTATTAAACTGGTTTTATCTCTACCCACGAGGTTAACCTTTTCTTTTCCAAATCTCCTTTCCACTGGGTGGAAAGGGGTGGGAGAAGAGTGAGTGAGCAACTGCGAGGTACTTAGCAAACTCCTTGAAGATACATACTGTTCCTTAGCAGCAGTTTAATGTATTTTAAAGATGACAATCTTGGTTTAGAACAAACCCAATTTTATCTTGATCTGAGATAACTGTGATATTAAGTGTTCTTATAAGTCTTCTTTAGCCAGGAAGAGATTTCAAACAAGAAAATGGATATATGTTGTATATTATTGTTGTAACTTACTCTTAGGCAGGTTCAGGCTTCACCTATAACTAAGTAGTCTGCCATGTGTTAACAGCTACTTAAGACAATACCTTACTGCACTGGCACAGGTCACTTCACAGAATCACAGAATGGTTTGGGTTGGAAGGGACCTTAAGGAGCATCTAGTTCCAACCCCCCTGCCAGGGGCAGGGACACCTTCCACTAGACCAGATTGTGTCTTCTTATTTCCTCCAGCACCATTTCAAGTACTCCACTGCCCCACACCTCCTGGGAGACGGTGCAGCAGCATTTGCAGGCTGCCTCTTCCATGTTCAAGTGACTTATACATTAACCAAGTTCTAGCATCCATTTAAAGCACTTTAAAAGGTAATTAAAACTATGAGGGGAAAAAAGGGGAAACCAGAAAGATTAGGATTAAACTTAAACTTGAACCTTCCTAGCACCTTCAGAGCAGCATCTTCAGAGTAGTGGGACATTTCTAACAAGCTACCAAAGGAACCAAGTTATTCATAGCTATGGTAAAATCAGAAACAACAATATTTTCAAAGAGCAAACCTTAGCAAGGCAGCTCACACTTTTTATAAAACACAGACTAGGTTTGTTGGGATACGTGTTTGTCTTGCTTATATGGCCTAAGCGAAAACAGGAGAAAAGTGTACAGAAATACTCCTATCCAAAGCTCACTGAAAGCCTCCTCCCAATTAAGTAATGCTTTTTTTAGACCAATCTTTAAGCAACAGAAAAATGGAAACTACAGCATTTTATTTCTTTGTCTTTTCCAAAACTACATTTGCAAATAAATGTTCTAGCCTAAATTGTGCTTTCATTTACACCGCTGTCTCTTCAGCATGCAGGTCTGTAAATAAAAACTCCCTGACCCTCTAACTTTTCTCTGGTCTCAGCACAGATCTATACTTGGCAATTTATGGTATCAATCAGTATCAATCAGCAATAGGCAGCCATAAAGATGGCAGTCTGAAACTTCTGCCACTCTTCATCTATTTAAAAAGCAAAATTTAAAAAAGTCTGCCAGTACTTACCACTTGTGCATAGCTAGTTGGAAGGTGATGTGTTACTTTTTGTCTCTGTCTTTTGACTAACCCCCTTGTTTATCAAGTATCCCTTGTTAGCAACACCTGCATTATGATTATTATTTCTCAGAGAACACTCCCCCTATGCTCCCCAGAAAAAGGTCTCTGGCTATAAGGAATAAATTTGGGGTGTTAGTCAAGGGGCAGTTATCTTGTCATTTGACATAAACACAGGATTAAGTTTTCTTCATCTAATCAAAATTATCCATGTTTTATCAAGACAATAAGCACAGCCTGCTGAGCAAACAATGTGTTACCTCATTTCCTCAGACAAATATAGATAATTATGTAAGGATCCATTTGCTCTAGACAAAAAGCCATGAAACACTGAATCACATCCTTTGTATTTCACATCCAATCATAATCTAACCAGCCCTTTTTTGATATAGGACATAATTATGGAGAAAAAAAAGTATTACAGGAAAATGTGTATTCTAAAAACATAAATGTCACATTTGGGAGGCAGCTAGAGTTGACCATCATCATTTGTAAAGTCACCAACATATTTCCTCCCAAACGTTGCAAGTATTGGGGTACTTATCCTGCCTTTATAGAATGTTTGCTAAAAATGTCCTCTTTGCTTCCTAAATACAAATAATTCTTTTGTTAGCAGAGAAGTGCATTATAGCCCTTAATCCAGAAACGCCAGACCTTTAGAAAAAAGGTCTGTAATCTGGACTAGAGAATCCTCTTCATGCTGATCTGATAGAAAGATCTAGTCACTGCTATAATATAAATAATAAAATTAAAACTTATTGAATGGTATTTCCATGTCCCTCATATTTTTCCAGAAGTTAGACACATTTTATCTTGTGTTAAAAAAAAATGAAAAATACAGTGCTTCTGTGTGGCACTCTGTAGAGCTGCAAGGACACATTCAGTTATAGCATAAGAAACAATCACATTGTAAACCAAGAGAAACGTCATGAGAAAGTCAGATAAAACATCTATCAAATATTGTAGGAATTCTGGGTGGGGAAAACTCTTGCAGAATAGTTCCGAATACTTTAGAAATTCAGTTAACTTGTGCAACCCCACAGACAGCTCCTCTTAGTGACAATAAAATACACAACACTCCTCAGAAGAAGCCATCACTCAAGGCACTGGAAAATTTCCAGAAAATAAAGACAATTTGTTCTTGTGAAATGTCAGATTTGGTGCCACTACACTGTTGATGTATGTCTGATGGTCAAAAATGTAATGCTTCCTGGTGTGATCTGGATAATCCTTCTCTACTGCCTCACAAAATGAAGACCCTGTTTCTTATGGTCTACCTCCCTACTGAAAGGTTGCTCCCTGTAAACAGTTGGAAACACTTATGAAACAGACACCTGCATCCACTGTTTCTTGCCTGTTTGTGTGTCACAGATGCGAATTAAATCATAGAATCATAGAATGGTTCGTGTTGGAAGGAACCCAGTGGAGACCGCAAGAGCAATATTTTCTCTTTAGTTGTTAACGAATGACAGAAGCAAGATGTTCACAAACATCTCTCTCCCTGAATCAAAGAAAGCATTAGATGAAGGAGTAAATTGAAGCAAATAATTTATCTACAGATGATTTATCTTATCTATTTAAGAAGTTTGCTTTTTAAACTGTTGATATGAAGCATAAACACTCTACCTACAGTTTACCTAACTACGTCAATTTAAGAGCTCAGCGTACAAAGAACAGCAGGCCTTAATGCCTACATTTATTAATTTAAATTAAACAAAAATAACTTTTACTCTGCATTTAATGATATCATATGAGATTAGAGCTATTCGGAATGTGTTGAATTATTTTGATGATATTATCAGATGGCTTTGCTAAAGAGAGATTTCCCCAGAAGCATTGGTCTTCTTGCTTGTTGGTCTTCAGTAGATTTTGACTCACCATCAGGTGAGTCTTCTTTAGGTACTTCTGTTTTTTTCAGTCTTTGAAATAACTGCAGTATTCTGTGGAATTGGGCCTTTATCCTCCTAAGCCATCCTACTATTTCCTGTCTATAACGCATGGTAAGGTTTACTCCAAGGAAACAGAGACAAAAAAAAGTAAGTAGTATTAGTCTTACTTTTGCTCTCTGAGAAATCTTCCTGGCTGGAGGGGGTCCACTGTCAATGCTACCTCCAAATCCTTCCAATTCACAGTATGGAGGAGCCCAGCCATACTCGCAGTGACAGTTCTTATGATTGTTACACACTCCTCTGTCATGACACTTTGTCACGTTACAGTCGTAGTTCAGCACTGATACACTCATACATGTCCTGTTGATACAAAGCATATCGCTACCACATGGTGTGCCATCTTCCACAGCTCCCATGTCAGCTCCTGGCATCCCTACGTGATAGTCAAGACCCCAACAATTTTTATCTCCAACAGGAGTTTGGACTAGCGTTACATGGTTCTGCAAGGGAGGTAGTTTGACTATGTTTTCACACTGAATCCTACCGCATAAGATATTCTCAATACTGCATTTTGTAAAATGGATATTGTTATAAATACCACAATTCCCAAACCGGTCACCTTGAGTATTCACTGCTTTGAAGCAATCTAAAGAAGCAGCCCTGGCTTGTTTGCCAAAGAGATCCTGGCACTGTTTACTGTGGGAAGAACATTTTCCTTGATAGCAGTAAGCACCATCTTTGCAAGGGGTTCCATCTTGTAGGTAGACATCCAGTGGGCACTGAGGGGAAATCCCATTGCAATACTCTGGCAGGTCACAGCTGCCAGTACTTTCTCTGCAGAGCGTTCCTGCTGGAAGGACCTTACAGTTCTTGCAGCATTTTCCAGACGCACAGACTGAACCTACAGTAAGCGTACAGTTCGGGTGGCAACAAGGATCCTTTCTGCAGACTGATTCTGAACCACAGTCACATTGCTCTCCGCTTTCTAATATCTTATTCCCACAGTATTCACGCTTCGAGGTGTAGAAAGCGCCTGGTGGTGGTGGTTGACGAAGGCAGTCAGCACCTTTTACAAGCAGGTCAAAGTAGTATTTGTAACTGCAGTCACTGAATGCATCAGTGTCAGCGTTGCTTTCGTACATAATGCATTTCTCTCGTTTGCATTTACAGTCTGGTTTATCATGGCTCATCCCAAGATTATGGCCCAGCTCATGGACAAATGTGATAAAAAATGCAGACAACTTTTTTTCAGTGAAGGAAGCAACAGCTGATGACCAGTGGTTATCACACACTGTCCCTATATATGCCAATCCCAGGGTGCTTCCAAAGCTCTGGAATGCAAATAAGTGAGCAACATCATGGCGCATCCGTCGGGACAGGTTTGACTTTCGCCAATTGTTAAAGTCACTGAGTACCGTGCCGAGAGATCTAGTAATATTTATTAAGTTGCTTTCGGTCCATATCTCCAATCCCATAAGAAACAGCCGGACAGAAAGCTGTTTGTACAGAATGTCCCCAATGTTGATGACTTCCATGACTTGCCTCAAGACTTCGGATTTATTCCTGCCCGACTTCACAAACCGCACATTGTCCACGACCACTACTATCTTGACATATCTGATGTGTGTCCACCAGTCCTTCAGTTCCTCGTTCTCCTCCTCTGCCTTTGGAGCCTTGAACCAGGGCAGCACAGCCTTTTGGTGCTGCAGCATCTCAGGGGTCAGTCCGCAGGTGGGGCCCATGTGGTTGTTGGCCTCCTCCATGCGGTAGAGGATGTGCCGAAAGGCTGGATCGTTGGGGATGGGCTCAATCTGGAAGGTATCATCCTCCACCCAGAGCACTCCGTGGAGGCCCCTATCACAGGCACTGAGGGCCACCAGGGAGCCAGGGCTGCCCAGCACCTCGCCCTGGTAGAAGCAGTTGTCCCGCACGAAGGGGTGCTCCTCCCGGCGGGTCCCGTCCTTGCCATAGGTGACCAATGTGAAGGGCCGGGAGACCAGGCCCCGCCGGGGCTGCAGGCGCAGCACCCGCGGCCGCCCCGCCACCTTCAGCCAGTAGGTCACGGCCGGGGGGTCGCTGCCGGCCCGCGGGCTCAGCTGCCGCGGCACAGTCACCCACGCGGCGAGGGGATCGGCGGGGCGGGCCCCTCGCGCACCGGGGCACCCCGCCAGCCCCAGCAGCAGCAGCAGCACCAGGAGCCCCGGCAGTGCCCCCATCGCTGCCGCCCGGCACCGGCCGCCCCCCCGCCCCGCCCGGGGATGGAACCCGAGAGGGCCCAGCCCGGGAGGAACCGCCCCGAGGCTCCAACTGCCGCCCTGCCGGCCCGGCCCCCGCGGGAAACGGCACCTGCGGCCGGGGGCACATCGCTGCCTCCAGACCCTGCCCTTTCAGCACGGACAGAGGCTCTTGTGGGGAGGAAGGAGTAAATTAGCCTTCCACAAGCACGTTCCCATATTTTTATAAGCTTCATTTCAAATTAATGGGTGCTTCTCCTGAGCAGACAGAGAGGCCCCCAGCTCAGATTCGCACTCCTTGTCACAGATGTTTGTGTTGAGCAAGGAGATCATTCTTGCATAGGCCACAAGTGGGAAAATTTGTTTTAAAATCTCAAAGGATGGCTTTTGCTTTTTTCACTCTTTCTATTAGAGGATAATTTGTGAGTGGACATCAGAAACAGGCTATTTTCAGCTCAAAAGAATATCTGGAAAAGTTTAGCGTCTGAAATGAAAAAGTATAGAAATACTCCTTGTGGTACCCTTTCTTAGTGTCTGCCTTACTATAGCTACTTACAGCTATACACACCCCTCCAAAAAAAAAGATAGAATAAGGGTAATTCACTTCCACTACATTCAATAATATAGAGGCAAATTAATAGCACCAAATATAAAACCTCAAGCCTATTTACACCATAGATGCTACATACCTACAACAATATGCTTTAATTACAGACATAACCCATGCAGCAGCCATTTTCCCACATCATGGCCTTTCTAAAGGCTTGTGCTTGCACAGCACTGGAAAGAGAATACTTACAGGTACCTCTACCACTTGGCTGCCATTCTCATTTTGGGATACAGCTACATCAAGACATCATCATCACTGGTCTACTCTGGCCTCCAATCAGGAGGTCTGGAGACACACTATATAACGCTGCTGCTTCTTTTGAGAAGGCACTCAGGATCACTCTCGAGGAGAAAAGACAACGCAGAAAGAATCGTGTCTTGTCGATACCACCTAAGGAGTTTTTCCGCTGTGCCTTTTGCAACCGGACCAGTCTATTTTGCATTGGCCTTTTTAGTCACCAGCACGTTTGTAGCAAATGTGGGTAGAGCCCTTCCCAAATCTTCGTTCCTGAAGCCTAGCCGTGATGACATCAAGACACAGCTAGAACAGTGATCTGGATTGTGGTAGGACAGGATGCCCTGTGCAACACAGCTTTGCACACCGGTTTTCTGGCACATATTGCTGGGATTTAACATAGCCACAGCTGTTATCTTTTGGGAATTCTTCAAAACTTTCATTTCAGTGCTGAAAGCACAGCTGGGATGAAGTCCAACCTGCTATGGCCATTATCTTCCTCAGCTGCAGGAGGTGCACCCTCCCACCACCCCATACCATCTCAGGAATCCTGCTCTTCAAGACCAGTTTCTATGTGCTGACCATCACTCTGGGACAGGCAGCAACATTTAACATTTCAAACTATCTGAGACAGGCACTGCCCCTCAGGAGGCTGAGCAGTGAGAGAAACAGGAAGCAAAATGTTCAGAGCCTCCTTCTGCTGCCTCATGCCCCAGGGTCCTGAGTGGGGATGGTTTTCTAAGCTGGGCACCTGGCAGGCCTAACCAACAGCTGTGGAGGTTACCAACAGTTGTCCAAAGGAACTTCAGATTCTGTGAACTGGCACCTTGCTCACTCCTTGCAAGTATGGCCAGCATTAGTTGCATACACTTTGTAATACAGTACCTCAGATTAAAGAAAACAGGATGCCTGCTTCTATTAGGATCCATCTAGAAGGATCTTTCTAGATATACATCCAAATCCATGATGTGTGTTAGCCTTAGATTTATTATTAATTTTAAAATTATAGGAACTGGGTTTTTTTGTGAAGTCTTTTATGTGCAGCTAGTTACTGAAAAATGATCCACTATTTTTCAATTATTAGTTTTGCATTCCCGGGCTGCGAACTATGTCAGATTATGTCTTTTGAAATATATATAACTCAGACTACAATAACAGAAAAATCCTGTTATATAATCTGTATGCAATGTCTGTAGTGCTGTTTTTAAATACATACTTCTCCTGTGTGATCACTCCTTAAGTTATAGTAAAGGCCCTACTAAATCACTCTGCCAATTTGCTAAAGACATCCCTTGCCACCTGTACGAGCCCCCGACCTGAAGTTGTCCACTACTTTCTTTCTTTTTTAATATATGTTTAGGACTAGAAAATAGTCTGGTTCCACTGCTGAACTCATGGCAGATTATTCTTGTGGGGTAGTGTCAATGTAACTTTGTGCCACTGCATTCAGCACCTAAGCAAGCCCTTCGGCATTGAGGTTACATAATTTTTATATAGTGATCACACTGTTATGTTCAGGTTACCAGATCCTTGCATTTCTGTATGGACCAGGTAAAGATCAAAGGGCAGGGAGGGAAAGATTCTTGTTGCATGACAATGAACAGGTTGGGAAGAAAAAATTACTAGCCTTACAGTAGAGCAGGGAAAAAATATCACAGCAGTCTTTGCTACTTCAACTGCAGAAACATTTCTTTGGCAGGTGTAATTGGCTTCCTCATGAGTGTTTTTAAAATTTTTTTCAATCCTGTAGCCCCCTAAAATTTCCAGTGAAGGTGCAAGCTCCTATGGAATTGAATCCTACCAGTGAGAAATTTACTGTTCTCACTTACCTTCTGTTGAGTCTTTAGGAACAGGTCACAAAACCTCAGGAGCCTTGTGGACCACAGGTTAAAATCCACTGTCCTGCTAGAAAGAAATTTAACCACCTGATTGCTGAGAAATCACTAATACGTTGTAACTCATCCCACTGGGAAAATTTCTCCCCACGACCCATCCATCTATGATTCATTGAACCTTGAATGCCTAGTTATCATTTGCTTTGCTATTGAAAAAAATAATGAAAACAACCCTGAAAAAGTGTATCACATCAGCTTTTGTTCAGAAACCATCTGCTGGTTCAGTGAAACCACAGTCTATTTGCATAATATATCTTCACCATTTTCTTCAAAGGGAACCTCTATGTCTCAAAATAAAGCTATTCTATCCCCTTTGCCTTGTCCCTCCTATTGCCTATACCCTTCTAGCCTTGCTCCAAGTACAGCTTGCTTTGGCAAACAACATGTACTGACTGTCCAGATGGCATCTAACATTTTTGCTGGGAAAAGGTTACTAAAATATGAAGTATAGGGGCAGAGTAGCAAAGAGAAATGGCAAGAGCAACACACATAGCCTGGTCAGACCTTACTTAGTGAAAAGTTGAAAATGACAGTATTTTTGCTGCACCTGAGACACCATTAGCTTTACACAGTAAATTGAGGTAGCTAGACTAACCCTCTTCCTACAGTCTGGCTGGATTTTTACATGTATGTGTATACATACACACATATATACAATACATGCATAACCGTTCATGGGTATGCACACATTTATATGTACTTTCAGACTATGAGAAGAATTGTTTCTATTAGAGTTCTAGGTAATTTTTAGCTCCTGCTACCCTGTGACTTAGAAAAGCCCTTCTGAAGTCTGAATGGTTATTATCTAAGCAAAAAGTAGAGACAGTATGACCAAATCTCTCCTTTATGCAAAAGGAGCATGGGCAAATTTCAGAACTGCTGGCTTATCTCCCTTTCATCTATAAGCTTTACAAATACTGAAGGTCCTTTGGAAGGACTTTGGACCTCAGCAGTCAGGCTCTAAACCAAGAGAGAGCCTATAAATACCAAAGAGAAAAGGCTTAGATTCTTACACACTGGAAAACATTATTGACTACAAGATAGCTGCTTAACTTCTTTTTAACAGTAAATTACTTGGAGTTTAACAGTAATATCTGACATAATGTCATTTCAGTAAGTTAATATCATAGCTCACTTAACTGATAAAATTATTTTAGAATATCTGGTCAGCAAGTAACAGGATCAGAAGGTATTTCAGTCCCTTGTATGGCAAACGTTCAGCACTGGACAGCTGCTAAGAAATGAGCACACTCATTGGTAACATCCCTAACTGCTTTATAATGTAATTCTCTCAGGAAAAGATCATTCCCCTAGAAGAGGCTTATCACATTCAAATGCATTGTTTCATGAATGGAAGCCATTTTCTGTCCTCTCAATAACTTAGATGCTAGCACTTTACCTCAGATGGGATCAGACCAGAAGTCCATTCTTTGTAACGCCCTTTGAAACCAGCCAATACCAGATATTTCTGCAGAAAGCAAAAAGGCTGCTAAGAGAAGAAGAGATGAGGACAGTCTGCCCCTTCAGGCCCTTATCTCTGAATTGGCTCAAATTCTGAGCATGGAATATGATTCAGTCTAAATGTTAACTCCAATTCAGCTTCATTAACTTGTCTCTCTGTTCTTGTACTACAAGACGGAACAAGAGTTCTCTACTTTCCTACTTGCTTCACTACTCAGTTTTACAAACACTCAGTATTTGTCCTTTCTTTCCAAAGGAACTGAAGTCTTGGTCCTCCCAGTACCATCATAGGAGAAACTTTCTCCTACTCATTTTATTGCCCTTCTTCAAACCCCCCTACTTTAGAGGAATTCTTTTTCAGACATTGAGCTGTACAATACACTTTATTTCAGGTAAAGTCCAGTGGCTGATAGAATACTTTGCTCATACTATGTTCTACCATCCATTTTTTACCACAGCTGTATGTCTCTTCAGCAAGATATCTTTCTTCTGCTAGTAGTGGTAAATATTTCCTTGGTATACAAATAGATAATTTTTTTCCATTAAAACAAACAAACAACAACAACAACAATAAAAAGAACCAAAAGAAACTCCCCACAACCAAAGCCTAACACCCTAGATCTTCATTACAATGCAGTCTAGTTATCTTTCTTGCTTAAGTTTTTCCAAATTACATACAGGTTCCTCAGCTCCTCAAATGGACATTTCCAACGACTTCATTCTGAACATCAACAGCAAGGACTCCTGAGGTTCCTCACCATTCAGGTCTTATTTCTGGAGAC